GACTGGATGGATGGATGGATGGATGATGGATGGGTGAATGGGCGATGGGAAGGATGAATGGGTAATTGGATGGAGGGGTGACTGGATGGATGGATAGGTGATTAGATACTTGGGTGAATGGTTGAATGGATGAATGATTAGACAGATGGATGGATGGATGGATAAATGCATCTTTACACATATGATTTCTGTTTCCTCAGGCATGACTTGCCAAGCAAGGAGCTCCTACATGGATACAGAGGTGCTCTGGGGCCACCGATTTACACCAGTCCTCACCTTGGAAAAGGGTTTCTACGAGGTGGACTACAACACCTTCCATGACACTTATGAGACCAACACACCCAGTTGCTGTGCCAAGGAGCTGGCAGAAATGAAGCGGGAAGGCCGGCTCCTCCAGTACCTCCCTAGTACCCCCCTGCCAGGGGGCTGTGCTGAACCAGACCCAGATGTAGAAACTGAGCAGGAGGGAGAGGATAACCCCAAGGGACTGAGTGAGTCCCAGGATTCCAGCGGCTCCGTGTGAGAGCTGCACTCTCAACCTCCCCTCCCTGGCTTCTATGAACACAGACATTGCAAGGGGAGTGGAGGTCGGGTAAGATAGCAAGTGTGCTGATTAGGGGCACTTTAGGGAGCTACAATATATCCAGCCCTCCTAGCTGCCAGGCCAGGGCCTCCCTGAGCAGGTGGCACCTTGCCTGGGCCCTGGCACTGTGCTGCCTCCATCAGCAATGGCCCAGGGGGCCAGGTCAGGATGGGTTTCCCCAAGGCGAACATCATAGGCTGGTGTCTGTCCTGTCTCTGCCAACTGGCACTGGGTCACTTCTTTGATTCTCAGAGTCTCCTCTTGCGGCTGACATCTAGAGAGGGCTGTCACACCCTTCCTTATTCCCACCACCTCAGGGCCTGTCCTGGGGGTTGAAAGGAGCAATTCAGCCTAAAGGAAGCACAGAGCTCTGGCGTTAAGGTTCATTCAAGTCACCAGGCTCAATTCCTTATAAACCAGACCCCAGTGACCAATTATTGAGCACTGCAGGGTCTATCTACAACCCCAATGATCTCTGTATCTGTGAAATGGTTCTTTCTGCTATGTTCTACAAATCCAACGTAGCCTGTCGATAATCAGTCTTAGTGTAAATTTCAGAAGATGGCCTGGGGCCACAGAGCCCCCTGAGCACAAACCTGGTATCAGCCAGTCCCTGCCCACTCCCAATCTCACCATGCCCTGCACGTCCCACCAAAGGGAAAGCCCTGGCAGCTGGGCCTTTTCTAGGACTTTACTGGCCCAAGCCCTTCAAAGTGCTTCTAACTTTCACCATCGTGTTCTTTCATAGTCTCAGAGACCCTGTACTATGATCTGGGGAGAAAGCTGAGTTGCAGAGGGCAAAACAAGTCAAAGGTGCTGCGACAGGGAGGGCAGAGAGGAAAGGAAGAGAGAGGGAAAGCCAGGGACATTTCAAAATAAGCATCGCGCCAGTTGTTGCCGAGATGCTCTGCTTCAGAGCCCAGCTTGCTTTTACTATCAAGGCCAATAATGGGATGTGAATCAAAAGTGACAGGTGACGGCAATGGCAGCCTTACTGTCGAGCTCATGTTGAACAAACACGGGTGGGTGCTGAGAATCCCCTGGGCCCTGCTCCTGCAGCCAGGACTCCAATAGTGTGGACTGGGCAGGGAGGGCGGGATGACACCCAAGGAAGAGTGTCCACCTACCCTGGAAACACGGGGGCGAGGGGAGTCAGCAGGAAATTGGGAGGGGAGTGATTGTTAAGAGAAACAGAGTAGAAGATAATCCTAAAATCAGCTACTGCAGAGGCTTCGCTTTTAAACTCTGGAGCCCAGGAGAAGTGCGGGAGGGCAGACAGTGCAGATGGTGACGGGGGGAGTGTGTGCTGGACTTGGAGAAAGAATTCAGGTGTTCCCAGGTACAGAATTATGTGGGCCTCACCTGCAATTTTCACAGCTATCAATTGGCCTTTGAAAATGGAGGCATATCCCTGCCCTGGACACAAGAGTGCCTTGCCAGTAAGGGAAGCAGAAAGTGAGGGCAAAGGGGAGTCTCAGGCCCCCTCCCGTCAGGCTAGTGGGAGAGGAGGGAGGCAGCCCCGGCCAGGGAACTGCCTCTAGTGGGTTGCCTGCTGTGGGGACTAAGGGGGCCCTTGTTCTTGGCTCCTGGGCTGAATCTTCAGAGGTGGAGCCACAGAAGCAGTGGGCAAGCAGGGTCTTCCTAGCAGGACCAGGGCAGGCGCTATGGTTCCAGGCATCCTTGTGGGTGAAGCAGGCCTTAGAGGGAAGGGGAGTGGGTTGGCATCCCCCCCCCATGGCGGGGTGGTGGGAGCAGACAGCATCCTGGGGGGTACAGTCAGGAGTCAGAGGCAGAGAGCCCAGTGCTAGGACTGGGTATTTTGGGATAGGGGTACAGCTGGAGTGCTCAGATTCCAGACCCAAGGGTCACTAGTAGCAAAACCATGTGGACACCTCATTCCCCTCCCCCCACTGGGTCTAAAGCCTGTCTTAGAACCATTCAGGGCCTGTGGGTTATACCCAGAGGGTGGCAGCCAAGCAAGAATGAGAAGCACCCCAGGACGCTGGCCTCACTCCCACCTCCACTTACGACTCGACTCGGAAGCATCCCCACCGGCCAGGGATCTGCTTGCAGCTCTCTGACTCAGCAGTGGCCTCTGTGAGCCAAATCACATCTCTCAGCCTGCTGTGGAAGCCACGGAGGCCATCGAAGAGGATACAGTCCTCATCTAAAGCTTCCCAACAGGCCGCAGCCAAATTACACCGGATTAGTAGAATGCGGATTCCAGTGTGCCTCTTCTGCTTTCCATCCCGGAGACTCGAACGCCAGAAGACAACCCTTTGGATCCCAAGGAAATCCCTTTCTTAGTGACCGGTGATCCAACTAAAAGTTGACAAATTCTTCAGATCATTTTCTGGGAGTTCTTGAATAAATATGAACTTATTAAATGCGAAGTCTGCTGACGGACAGAGTTTCAAGGGTCACTTTCAATAATTGTTCCTGCATAAAAACCATTCATAGGTTACAGGCAGCAGTACCTCGGCTGAGCCCGCACCGTCTCTCCTGATGGGCCGTGGGGAGCTGAGCCTGGCTGCATTAGGCAGTCACTGGTAACTCCCATAGTCTTTGGCGTCTCCAGCGTCCCAAAGCCGCATCTCTGTCAGACCCTGAACGTTCGGGGAGCTGACTTCCTGCCTTAATGTTCACATCTTTCCTCTCTGGAAAGACACCTGTAAGGGCGAAGGCTCCAGGAATTAAGATGAAAGTTCCCACTAGTCCTCCTCTCTCCACCAGTCTGGCACCTGACAGGTGTGGTTGCCATCGCCCAGGGCGGAATATGCAGGGCCCAGGGCTCTCCCCTGCAGACAGTGCCCCGTCGGGCTCCTGTGTAGCCAGAGACCCCACTGCCCATCATCCCTGCCGCTGCTTCGACATCCCGGCTTGGGCACTTACTGTGATGTAGGAGAGGTGCTGGGGTCAGTCTAGGGAGCTCCTTCCCTGCTCAAGTCTGTAACAAGGTGCCCCCGTCACACTCCCCGTCCTATGGCTTGTCTCCCAGACCACCTCAGCCTTGTGTCCCGTGCGAGGTGAGAACCACTGAAGTTGCCAAAACCCCAAAGTTACCCAACGTCTTTTAGAACTATGCCCGGCAAGCGCCTCTGCCAGGCTGGCAGCGAACCACCTGCTGGGCACCTGCGGTGTGCCTGTGGGCAGGCTGGGGACAGCCAGGCTGGTCAGTCTGCTGAAGGCCACAGATAGTATATAAGAGGAAGGACCTCGGGGCCAAGCACCTCCCAAAGGGGCCTCCTCCTAGGGCACTCTTGTGTCTGCAGCCCCCGGGTCCCTAGGATCACGTGCCTGCCACAGAGCCTCAGCTGCCACCCACAGCAACGAGCTCCAGCAGCAGGATAAGAGGGGAAACACCTTTTGCTGATTTCCAGAAAACTAATGAGCTGTGAAAAAGGATTAGACGTACTTCTGGGGGAAAGCCACGGACGCTGTCCTGGTTGCTTTCTGCTGACAACATCTCCGCCCACGCCTGTGTTAAATCTCCTTCTCTCTGTAGGATTTGCCAGTCTTCTTATGATAAAGAACATCACTGCTCTGCTGAATTCTCACCCAATAAAACAGATTGACCTCAGAGAGCCTTTCTTCTTTCGCACAGATGGCTGCTAGCTTCCCATTCAACCTCATTGCCAGTTTTAGCAAACTTGCCCTTCTTTTTCTGTTACCCCTAAACATGCAATGTCAACATGTGAGCTGGTGTTGAGGAGGGCACGTGGGCAAAGGTGGGGGGGGCTGGACGGGGCAATTGTGCCGCAGAACTCGGGGGAGGCTGGGCACCCAGGCTGAGGGTGGAGGCTGTCTGGACTCTCACGGTTAGGTCGCCCAGAGAAAGCATACGCCCTTAATTTTAAATATTCAGAATCCACAATGCCAAGTAATGAGTAACTTTTAAAATATCCACATCCTTTGAAATTTTGAAAACATCCACTTTAGGGAGCCCCTGGTCTGGCAGGACGCATTTGTGGCAAAATTCCCACATTGATTGATATTACAGAACAGCGGGGGCGGTACAGAAGAAGCTGTGAGATTTCACACCAGCAGAGGATTTCAGGATTCTTCCAGAGAAGACCGATGTTTCTGTTGGAAATGTCATTAGCAGCAGAGGATTTGAGATGAGCTTTTCTTCTGCTCTGGCCCCCAGTGGCAATATCAAAGGGTTGAGATTTACAGGGGAGGGTGACTGAAGATCCCTTGCTGAGACCTCTCTGAAAGGACAAAGCCTCTCACCAGGGCTTAGATGGAGGCTGAGAAGCAATATTTTAAGTAGGGGAAGGCCACACAGCCCTGATGTGTGTGGCACCTCTGGTGTCTCAGGAGAGCCCACTTGCAGTGACCAGGCATAAGCAAATGCGTGCGTGAGACTGGGGCTGCAAGCAAGTCAGCGCCTCACATCAGCAGGGAGCAGAAGCCCCTGGTAACACTAACGGTGGGGCTGCCTTTCTGTGGTCCTGATGTAAACAAGACACCCACAGGCTCCGTGTCCCTAAGGGGGTGGCCCTTTCTTGGGGATTGCACTTATTGTTCAATGCCAGATCAGAGGGGCATGAATCCCTGAATGGGCTCATTTGCCAGTGGAGCTTGGATTGCAATTTGGGGAAGGAGAACTAGACACACATGTCTAATAAAAGCAAAAATCTGAATGTTACCCTTAGAAAACTGGCTAAGAAGATCCACCCTGCTGGTGCCAGCAGAAGCCCTGCACCAAGGACACGCCAGGTGGCTCTTTCAGACCTTATTAGATTCCAGCGCTAAAGGCTCTCTGCTTCTTTATGGTAAATGCCTGCCTAGGAAGACGTTTTGGAAACAGAAGCATTGTTGACTTTTTCGCTACGGGTCTATTTACTTTTACCCAGAAGCTGCTATTCAAATAACTTTGGCTCCCTTGGTTGAGGCAAAAATCCTAAATCCCAGGAGAAAGATACTGAGGATTCTGGGTGCATTAACATGTGCTTTGAGCTTTTCTCTACCAAGTGAGGAAGGCCTGAGTGAGAAGTGAGGCCTGGGCTGGGTAGGATGAGGCTGACGAGTGTAA